TATGGGGGTCAGGGGGTGAATTCTGCAAGGGTTTGAATAATTCGTCCCTACGGTAGTAGTAACAAGAAGCTACTAGGAACAAGTGCATCGCTTCTAGTAACAAGTGCCTTACTAGTAGTAACAAGGTTCGCTACTAGGAACAAGTGCATCGCTTCAGAGTGTCTCCAGGTCTTGGTCCCGGTCGCAAAACTTCCGACACCGCTTCCAGGTGGTCAGCGGCATCCCAGTAAACCTTGTGAACCCGGCGACGGCCCACCCGTCGCCCCATTTTTTCCAGGCCGGGACATAGTCTTTTCGTCCTCCGCGCGGATGTTGGTTTGTTTGGGGCGAAAACGGCGGATAGGGTGGCAGGGTCGCGACGAGATGTCTGCTGCTGGCATGTGGTGAAACATGGTGAAATCGACCAATTACTTGACGGCCCCCTCAACCTTAGCAACTACTATCCTTGAATAAACAAAGACAGCTTTGGAGTGAACCGGACAAAGGAACATGTCAGTCCCTTGACATCCCTGGTCCGTTTTGTTCATTTTAGCGCCAGCCAGCAGGCTGTCGGCGTTTGGGAACGTTTTGAACACATATCGTCGAAATGAGTACGTATGTCCTCCTTCACGGCAAAGCATTGGAGCCTTCTGCAATCCTGTGAACCCCGTCTTTCGCATCAGGTCAAATCCTCAGTTTCAGGCCAGTGCCACTTGATACAGTGGGCACCGGCCGGAACTGGAATTCTGGAAATCCCAAACAAAAGCTGAGAAAGAGCAGAGCGTTGCAGCTACTGAGACGAGAGAGCGGATTGCTCTGGCAAAACATATCAAACATCTATGACTCGAATGGCCCTCAATGGCAATGGCCCATGGCCTTCTATCGCCCGTCACCCGTGGCCTTGCGCGTTTAGTCTTGTTGACCCACGTTGGGCGCCAGATGGACCGGCACCTCACGGTCTTCTCGTTGAAGCCAAAGGATGGCTCAACGGCTGAGGCGGCTGTGCAGGCGTCAAGGGGGAGGTGGCGGGGGTTCGACACCCTTCCCCAGAGCTCGTATAGCAACAGTTGCTCCATCTGGGTTGAGCATGCTGAATCAATGAATGTTTTGTTGAACAACCACTTGTGTTTCCATACACCTCGGCAGACCGACGACATGGGACCCTCGCTGTAGAACCTTTTTGAAAAGAAGCTTCAACATTCTGGGTGATGCACCTCGAGCTCTCCTCCAACCAGTCGTTGCGCCTTCGGTGGTTCTGAGTCAGGACTACAGCGTGAAAGAGCTCACAAAGATCTACAAGGGGCCCGAGGTTTTGATGAACGCCCCCAATCTGGGTTCGGGGCACCAAGATTGCCTTGATCGCTAGTATCAGGAATTGGGTGAGAGTGCCTAGCAATCCTAACAATTGCAGGTCAGGTGTTTGTTCTTGTTGTTTCTGACATGTTCCCCAACTTATTCTACCCTCCTAGACTCCCTAGACCCTTCCCGGGAGAAGGTGCTGCTTGCGCCAAACGAAAACGTCGAAGCGGTTGAGGTGTTTTGGCTCAACACTGTGTGGCCTTCGATACCACCCGGGTGCCGCTGCTTGTGCATTGGGGGAGTTTTTTGGGACGTTTTGGTTGTGTTTGGACCATGCTTTGCCAGAAAAGCTGGGGATGTTCCTTCGCTAGGGGTGCGAAGGCCTAGGGTCCCAGGGCATTGGGATAGTTATTATTACAGGTCAGAGGAGGTTTCTGACAAATCCAGAAGAGATTGACTCGTGTCACGGGTCCTCAATGAACTGGGGAGTATGCCAAGGGCCACACCTTTGAACGAACTTCCTGTTGCTTTCAACCTGAAAGCTGTGTCAATCGGGGATAGGCTTCAGGCTCTTATTGGTTCTTATTGGGCCTCCGTGCGTTTTCAGATGTGCTCCGGCTTTTAAGCAAGTGCAAACCCATTTGCAGGGAGGTAGGAAACTCAGCATTTCAGACACCGAGCAACTACGTTGCCCGCAGCTACATATATAAGTTCAACCTGCTGCTGATTTGCGACTTGAAGTTTGGGAGCCAACCATTCGTACCAGGGGTGCGAATGGGCTCACAAACCTACTGCTCCAGGAGAGCTCTCAAGGTAGGGCCACGGTAGGGTCAACTTTAACGCCATTTGAGGTGCAGGCCTTGTGGGCATCCTCAATAGCTCTGGTCTACGATTTGCTCACCCTTTCATGCCAGGCAGACCGTCGCCTGATCTTTGTGTTCGACGTGCGCCAGGGCAGTTGAGCTTCTGTGATGTGCATGCATGGCAGACTGGCCACAGCAACAGTACCATGCCAAGATGCAGCTGTGTTTCGAGTAACCCTTCTACTCACCATTCTACTCAGGCCTGATTCCACCTTATATATATATACAATTATATACATATGTATGTATAGTGGTCATGAAGATGTGGTGCCAACATAGATTCTGAAGAATTGTAATGTGGTCCAGTGGTGGAACGAGCATTGCTCATGGTATATAAGACAGCGGCTTGAGAGGTGAGCTATCGTTGGTTATCGCACATCAAGAAGCTGAAGGAATCCTAGTCCAATTCTTTTTCTCAACCTTAGTGTCCCCCTGTTGTACTGTAGTTTGAACCTACCTTCCCCCGGAGACACTCCACGCCTCAGCATGGTGTTCTTTCAGGAGGCCTTGGAGCGGGACAAATTCTATACCTGCCTCAAGATCTTGCGCATGTCCGTCTAGAGCTTAGCCAAGTCGGTAGGGGTTGGGGTTGGGGGTCGGTGGTGCACAAACGGTTGGACCAGAGTTCAGCCCTACCATGGGCCAGCGGTTTGGTTGTGGAGGTGTCCGCGCCCAAAAACACGTGTGGGGTAGGGGTAACAAGTCATCTCACGAAGAGATCTTGACACCTGTCCACCGTAGTTTCTTGGGACCCCATGGTCACAGTTCTGAGGCCCCGTTGTATGGAGTTTGCTCCCACATCTTGGTGCCGTCCAATCCAGCAACACATATTTGAGTGTCTGTCTGAATGCATAAGACGGGTTGGGACCAGGGAAACACTTGCCAAGCCCGTTCCGGAGATGCCAATCACCCACAGAACTCAGTCTTGATTTGGCCATGAACTTTGGCCATGAATTGCAGAGTTGCATACAAGTATTATAGATTATTATAGATCATCAAGGGCACACAGGTTGATAGGTTGGTAAGATCCTTGACATAGCTTTCTGGCTTCGCGGACACTGTGTCATTGGTTTTTCTTGTTATGGCAGAAACACCGATGCGGGGATGATGGACTGAATTGGGTGCCCCAAAACTGTGTGGCTAAGGTAGATATCAGTCAATCAGGCCGTTGCCTTAGCGAGCTTCATCGAGCTTCGCCGCTGGAGTAGGCTGACCGTCGACATGTTGCTCCGCTGACCCATCAAGCTGAGAACAGGACTGCGCCCGGCTATCGCAGTGACCAGACGGGCTGAAACTCAGATCATCAAGAAATCACTCGAAACAAACATCAAAGCACAAAGCAGGCTCAACAGCAAAACAAAAATCAAAGTCAACACAACTCAAGTCGGACCAAAAATACCTCAACAAGTACCCAAGGAGCAAGGTGTTTTCTATTGTTTTCAGGCTTGCATTCATGAGTTCTACGCCATTCTGCGCAAAGACTCGGTGTTTTTACTAGCTTTTAAGTTTCTCTTGAGTTTTCTTGATTCTTTTCCTTGTGTTTTTCCCTGAGTATCATTTGAGTCTAATCTGATTCTCTTGTTTCAGTTGCTCTCGAATATGTCTTTCTCATTTGAGTTGCTTTTGAGTATATTTTAGTCTATAATCTTCGATAGTCTTGATCTCTTGCTAGCTGTTTGGGACGATATGATCATAAGACGAGTTACCTACCATTCCTGAAGTCCACAAGGGTGAGACTAAAGCCTTCAAGGGCTCAGCCATGCACTTGATGAGGTCCGCACTGAAACTGATATGACCATCTAGGCTAGGTGACCTAGGTGCTCAGGTGGTTTCCCATAGAGTGAAGTCCGCCAACGCAGAAAATTCATCCTTGTCCGAGTGTTCAGGTCAAACTTCTTCATGACCAGAAGCTTTCAGCTTCAGAAGCTTTAGGCACCGTTTCACTGTTTGCAGGGTGAGAAACAGGCTGCAGAAATCACATGAAACCGCCATGAGCAATGATGTCCTAGTCCTGCCTTGCAATCGGGTCTCTGAGGACTCCAAGAGCCAAACAAAAAACTGTGCCATGGACCTCAAATCACCAGGCATTTTCTTGTTGGGGTCCTCATCTTGTTGAGGCACAATTTGCTTTGCCGCCCCAAGGGCGACCTGCCCCCATCGATCGCATTGTTGCGCCATCGAGTGCGTGAACGCATGGGCGTGGGCAACATCGAGAGTCGCGCAATGCCAAAAGAGCGTTGGGATTGGCGTTGGAATTGGTTAGTGGGGTAGAACGGTAGAACTAAAAGTTGATACAACATGGATGGGATACAGTGCAAAAGCAATTTGGTGTGGCCGGCACGGACGAACATCTTCACGTGAATGTCAAGGGAGTGCTGTCAGATCGTGGCAGCTTTGACAGGCCCGATCTTTCATTGCCTGAAGTGCGACAGAAGGTCCTATTTTGCAGGCGAGCCGACATCAAAGATGCTGCAGGTAGCAGTTGTATCAGGATCAATACTTGTAAAGCTGTCAGCCCTAAACATCCATGAAGCACCAGAAACGATGCATTCCAACTCCGGTGTACACTTGAGAAGCCACAGAGAAACTCAACGTGAAGAACCCATCAACACAGCAAGAAACTGCTTACATGCAAGCCCCAGCCCCACTAGGACCCCCAAGGCCCAAGGCAAACAAAGATGTGGTCAGAGCTGAAGCCTCAAAACACAGAGACACGAGGTGACCCAAACATCTCGATAGCACGAGCCATGGACGCTGTGGGTCCACCTCTACGGTCTCTGCCTCAGTCCACCGCGCTCCTCGGCCAACGGCGACAATGGCACAGCAACGCGCACAGCGGTCGTTGCACCGCGCTCGACCCGCGCATCTGCCTGGTGGCCGTGGCCGGGTGTGCGGCAGTGTGCCGCGCGCCGCAGCATTCTGCGCGGCGCGCGGTGTCAGCGCTGGTGGTGGGTGGCACAGGCGCCAGAAAGAGTCGTCTGAGACGAGAGTGGCGCCAACGACATGGTTCCGAGTGTGAGGTATATAGTATCAAGGTAGTTACATCATGTTACCAGTAAAAATCTGCAAGGGTGAAAGATCCATCAAACGAAGTCACAGGCTTTCCCAACCTCCCTTCGCAGTACTCATGACGACAGTGGCCGTCATGACTTTCGGACCTTGATCTACCAGATGGATGCTGATTGCACCCCCGTTCTAACAGATTTGTACTTGCAATAGCTTGCGCCGCCTTCTGTCAAGAGAGAAATGTCTTTCATTCCGTTTTTTTTGCATCTTTTTCAACCACTGAATCTTGCTTCAGCGTCTCAGGCCGTGTGGGTGGCTCCACCGCGCGGTGGCTCCAGCGACTGGCGGAGGAGACGAAGCTCGAGCTAGAGGTGGCCGTGGGCGGCCGAAACAAGGAGACTTGGCACAGGCGGGAGGACTGTGGAGGACTTAGAAACGGTTGAAGTACGACAGAACGCCTTAAAGTCGGAACTTGGCAAGCGACTGCTGTCTGACTGGGAAACCGAATTCGGGGATACTCGGGGTGTGATGGGATGTAAGGGGCATTGGCATGAGAGGTAGCATCTTGTGCTTGTGCTTCCTTTTTGAAGGCAGGCTGAAGTGACGGATGTGTTTGTGGCTTGAAGTCAGTTGACCTTATTGATCCGTGAAAGGGAACTAACTAACCATGTTGACATCCGATTTTGGACACAGCCAACACAAAGGGCTTAGGGCCTAAGGAAAAGACTGGATTTGACTTTGTGTTTTCTGTTCTTCTTACAATTTTTTCCTTGATCGAACCAACAATGGCACAAGTGATGAGAACAAGGGCCTCACTTTTGATCCGATGGAACAAAGGACCTCATTCTGCTGGTGGGGGATAACCAAGCTGAAGGCTGTCGTGAAACATGATGAAACATGTAACATGTATATTTATAGAAAAGATGACTCTGCGGTGACGGTGGATTTCCGTTGGTTCCATGCAACAGCCAGTTGGCTTCAGGTGGCGGACTGGCAGCGTTAGGGACCTTTCCGGAAGCAATCCTTGATCTATCGCAGTGGCCGTTTTCACCATCGCTACTAATTAGGTGCCATCGGATGCTACTAGGGGCTCCTGGCCATACTATATACTAGGAGCAAGAAGCTACTAGGAACAAAGGGCATCGCTACTAGTAGCATTCTTACTACTAGTAACGAGAAGCTACTAGGGGCTCCTGGCCGTTTCGAACGGAACCATGTTCGCCACGCACGGAGCCCGGAGCCTTTCGGGCATCGCGACTGGACCGAGCGCGCTCGGACGATCGCGACTCGCAGGCACATTATTACTATTAAGCTACTAGAAACAAGTGCATCGCTACTAGGAGCAAGGGCCTTACTAGTAGTAACAAGAAGCTATTAGAAACAATAAGCTACTAGAAACAAGTGCATCGCTACTAGGAGCAAGGGCCTTACTAGTAGTAACAAGAAGCTATTAGAAACAATAAGCTACTAGGAACAAGTGCATCGCTACTAGGAGCAAGGGCCTTACTAGTAGTAACAAGAAGCTATTAGAAACAATAAGCTACTAAGAACAAGTGCATCGCTACTAGGAGCAAGGGCCTTACTAGTAGTAACAAGAAGCTATTAGAAACAATAAGCTACTAAGAACAAGTGCATCGCTACTAGGAGCAAGGGCCTTACTAGTAGTAACAAGAAGCTAATAGAAACAATAAGCTACTAGGAACAAGTGCATCGGATCGTTCAGGCTCAGGGATCGGTGCCCGGAGGCGGCCCAGTGGAGCTTCGTGGAGGTGGACCACCGGGACGCTGGGACGGACCCGGAGCGGTGGAGGTCGAACACCAAAAAAAAGAGAGAGGAACGCTGTGAGGGCCCGTGTTTTTTTTGTGTTTTTGTGTGTTTTTTACTATATTTGGGCCTGTTACACAAAGGATATGAAGTCTGTAGTGAAACAGCTGGTCTTGCATCACATGTTCCAGCTTCAAAAACAAAAGAATTGATGCTAAGGCTGCTAAGAGTAGTGAAGCAGCTAAGGTAAATTTTGATCAAAAAACGTGTTATTGATCTTTCTGATAACCTATTAGTAGGCCATACAAATGATATTGAAGTGTAACCATCATCAACCATTTTCTGGCTGATATGACTTTTGCTTGCTCCTGCAAACAATATCGTAACTCATCATTTTGAATGCATCTATCTTTAGATGTTGAAATTTCTACAGTTTGATTTTCTACAACTTGGTACAGTGAATTAGGTAATTTAATATCCACATTTTTCCTCACTCTCCAGCCTCCAATCTTATTGATAAAAGCCACTCACTCGGGTTCTTTTGATCTTCAGCTTTGATGGTGAAAACATCAATCTTAACACACTATACTGTAATACCAGCATGCTTCAGTTTAAAGTCAGTTGTATACATTTCAAAAATTGTCAAACTTAACTTAGTTTCACGAGTAAAAACCTTGCTTTTATCACTCTGCTCTACTAGACTTGCCAGCCTTTGCCAAAGAATCCGAATCTGGAGGAGGGGGTCGACCCAATTTCTTTTTTTGGGGTAGACCCTCCCCTCTCAGCCTTTGCCAAAGGATACTAATCTGGAGGGGGAGGGTCCACCATTCGGTCAATCCTCCCTCCTAGCCTTTTCCAGAGGCTCCTAATCTCTGGATCTGGAGGGGGGGTCGACCAACAAAAAGAGAGTATATTTTTTTGTCGACCCCCCCTCCCAGCCTTTGCCAAATGCTCTTTATGTTTTCTTTTTTGCTTCCCCCCCCACCCCAGAGAGAGAGGTCCTTGTGTGGCACATAAGCTTTTGTTATTGTTTCACAAATATTTTCCTTTTTGAATATATAAAGATTATTATATAAGAAAAGTTAAAAAACATATATATATATATATGTATATATAAGTAAAGGGATTTTATTGAACACATTAGCTTTTTAGAAACACTGGAAAACGCAGGCCCGCACAGCGTTCCTTTCTGAAAAACAAACGGGTCGGACCCGGTGGACACAGGTGTTGTGGTGGACATGTTGCTTTCGGGTGAACAGTTGCGGCGATCCGAAGCTGTCTCTGTGATTTGTGCTGAACTTCGAGTCCGGGGCAAGCCTTTAGATTGGTGAATTTGATATCTTTTGTGACCCTATTTCGAGGCAGCCTCGTCTAATAGGTTCGTGTGTTGGCCGATTGGCTAACAATCCAGGAGGCGCATCCAACATCCCCCATGAATGAAGCCTTATGAAATGACGACGATCCTTTTCTCATATAACATACATGCAAATTCCAAGGGGTATTTTATAGGCACAAGGGCGTGTATTTTGGCAACCTATTTTGCATAACTACCTAAGATCTATAGAGTATCGATTTACACAGGTCATGTCATTTCATAAACTTCAGTAACTTGGAGTGAATGACAGTAATAGATGGCAGGTGAACCCACAAATCTCGTTTTACAAGAATTCACTTGACGAGGTGTTGGAGGCTGGTCAGAATGCCCGATTCGCAATTCTCATTTCATAAATTGATGAACTGTCTCTTCTCTATCTTAACCTATCATGACCTATGCTGGTCATTTTATGAACTAGTTGGTTATTCATTTTATAGACCAAAACACCCATCCCTCACATTTTATAGACACAAATGGTTTATAAAATGACAAACCGACCCGCTTATGAACAATCAAGGGGGAGTCCGATTCTATTACTGTACATCAATTCTCTGTGTGCGTGGCATTTACAAAAGTACACCATCATATAAATTCAATCATTCGGTCCTTGCAACGGAGTACCTGCACAAGAAGCTGCCCCTGCTATTGGCTTCGAATGGACAGAGCATGTTCTAGCTGAACAGCAGTTGTGGCAAGGGCCAATATAGTGAATGACATGGCTCAACATGATCAACACCGAATTTGCCCAAAACAGCAAGCCTCCGTAGCCAAATGACGCCCTTGCCAACTTGTGAGTCCTTGCGACTCAGAAAACGCAGGAAGTCTGAAGTCCCTGGATCTCAAGCACTAGGGTGGAGGCCATCGCTATTAGGGTGGAGGCTTCGTCTCAATTATGCACAAACTCAACCCCCATCCCGGTCACCGGGAGTGAATCTCCAGTCTTCGACCGGCTAAGGACCGAAAGTCGGTGAAGGAAGCAATGGCACTGCAACAGTGGGATGTGGTACCTGGGCATCGATGGGTCGTCATAACAAGAAAGCGGAATTCCAAGTTGGTGCCTGTTTTTTGATTATCCACGCCATGAATTGCCAGTCCATCATCCACATACGTCTCCCACCCACACACGACAGAATTGTGCTCAAGAGAGCAAAGGTTCAGAATTTTGTGGAGATCATTACTGTAGCTCTTTATGTTAATGCATTAGACGAACTCATGAGCACTTGGCTGCAAAACAACGCATGAGACAGCTTGAGCTTTACGTAGAGAACTGGGTGAGAGGTGGTGGAGAAAGTATGTAGCAGGTACGTGAATTCTGTGTCCAGAGCCCATATCAGTGACTCGTAACAGCCTCTTCGTTGGACTGCCACTGTTACAAGTTAGGCCCGGCAGTCCCCCTGCTGCGGAAAGCTGTACAAAAAAGATTGAGTGTGCTGAATCGGTAAGTAGTGTAGGGATGTGTAGTAGAAACAAGAAGCTAGTAGAAACAAGTGCCACACTTCTAGTAACAAGTGCCATACTAGTAGTAACAAGAAGCTAGTGTCCCTGGAGACGGAAGGTGGCACACACACACACACACGCAGCAGGATTAGGGTGGTACGGGTGGATCTAGCATGTGTCGTCGTGTGTCCATTCCTTACAGCAACTGGTTGGCATTTGCATATGTGGGAGAGACTGCAAAAGAGGCAATAACCCTGACTGGAACAGCGTTGGCGTTGGCTTTACCAGTGTCCTGTCCCGTTCCAAAGTAAAGGCTTCTCAAACTAGATCAACAGGTTCCAGGATGTCACTGCGACCACCCCTCAATTTTGTTCTGAGTTTGCACGAGCTCTTGTTGCTGAATCCGACGGATTCCGCGTACTGGTGACATGTCAGCCACGTATATCTTTACGGGGCATGAGAAAAACACATTCAACTCTGATGGACAACTGCCAACCCTTCAGCTTGTGCCCCTTTTTGTTCTTTTGCGGCATAGCATGCGTGGCATTTGTTTCTGGTGGGTTGCCCTCCCAACTGAGTTCTGATTGGCTCCTACATCGCAGGATGGGCCCGTGCTGAGGTCGTCCATACTGCAGGGCCCTTCCAGGGCGTGACAGAGCCAAACATTCTGAAGGAAGCACTGGAACTGGGCGTGCCATACGTGGATGTGTGCTTTGGCACAGTTTGGCACCGAGCATGCTCACCTTACCCTGTGAAGTTTGTCTGGCAAGGTTTTATCACTCACTACGTTCTGAGGCACGTGATTGTTCTTTTCTTTCTTTAAACGTGATAGTCAATCGCACAGTAACGTAGCATAACGTCGCCAAAGGTGAAAGGCCTCTTTTGCTGGAGCAGGTGGCTCCTTGTAGGATCGGTGAGGTTAATGTTTACCCTTGGCATCCCTGAGCCTGATACGTTGGACAAACCAGAACTGAACCTGAAACAAGATCCTCGTTCTAAAGTTAGTGAAGCCCCAGGCTTCCAACTTGAGAGATGTTTTTTTTGGCCTCAGGGTGCGGTCTCCGCATCTTATCTCCACGGACTGCTGTCGTGGTGTTCACCTCAAACGGTGTCTCAGGTGCGATGACACGGAGCTCTGTAAAACGGCGAAGAGCTTGGCGAAGTCTTCGGTGCCTGCCATCGTGTCGGCAGGCATTTGGCCTGGTGTTCCTGGGACCTTGATGGAGGGGGATTGGGTCGAATCTCAATCAACCTCTTGATTGAGGACCGGATGGACCTTGGTTGAACTGCACAATGTGTGAACTTTCTGGAATCAGTTCCCAATTGAAGAGGGTGGTCAAGTGCAGCGCATGCACTGTGGTGGTACACAGCAGACTGCGAAGGCATTTGTATATCACCCTGTGAACTTTGCTCAACAATCAACTGTGGTGCAGGCTGCTGAAAACTAGGCACCAGGGGATCGGGTCCATGTGGTCTACTTTAATTAAGAACACACATATATATATATATATGAACTCTTACCACTCTTTTCTGTGCCCATCCCAGCCTGCCACAAAGCAATATTTCACCCATTGGCAAAGACACTGAGGCAACGTAGAAATTGAGAAGACTTTGGAATCTGTTGGTGCACTTTGGAACCAATCACCATGTCGCTTGCTCAGCAACAATCCTTTACTTCGCTGAGAATATGAGGCCCATACTGCCTGTTGGTCTCATGCAGTCCTACAAACCTGCGGTTTCCAAATTCCATGCTTTGCCATTCAAGCTTCCTTTCATCCACATGGAATAGGGGAATGTATGGGAGGGCCAACGGACCAACAAACAGGTACCCTACGCATCCCTGCGCTGTGGAACCTCGTGCCAGCGAGGTCTCCGCCCTGATGGTGCGTGAGGCTTACGAACGCTTGGGAAGCATTGAGGAGAGCTTGTGGCAGGTTTAGGTTGGAGGCCATCGCTAGTAGGTTGGAGGCTGGGTGAAATGGTGTTGAGTGCCTGTTGGGTGAAAAGAGTTGGGGTACTCTTCTCTCGAAGCCTGACTTTGCTTGATGCTGGGAAGACGCTGTTCACTAGGACTTGGAGATGTCCTTCTACACTGCAAGCTTGGCTTTGCTTCAGCAGCATTTTGCTTTTTCTCCTTCAGACCTCGTGGCATTAATGTCCGAGGCCATTCTTGGATGTTTCATCTCTGTCCGCCATGGGCACAACGACACTGACCTGCCACTGACCTGCCTCAGACCTCCCCAAGGCTGGCACTGGAGGTGCAGGGCCCACCATTGTGTCTGCCACCTTCCTGCTCTTGGCGGAGCCACCTTTGAACTACCAGGCGCCGTGTCGCCCACGAAACAGGATCACAGCGAGTCTTGAGATGCTTTCAATACATACTGTAATTATGTGTGATTTGTAGATATTTGTAGTCATGGTCTCCCAGTCATAGTCAGTCATAGTGAGTTTCTTTTGTACACACCAGAGACGCCAAGTCATCAACAATTTGAATAGTTAGTCTGTCAGTTATTGTCGCCCTGCCCAGCGAAAAGCGCGCATCGGCCTCCACGGTCGACCTACGTGCTTTTTTCTTCTCAACAGGGGAATGGATTTGTCACCTCCAGGTGACTTCAAAGGGCAACAATTGAATTGACATTTAGAAGTCACCTGGAGGTGAATTGACATTTAACAGAGGCAACGATTTGATTTCTTCGCCGAGGCTGGCCAGGAGGTCCGGGCCGAGCCCTGGGGCCAGCGGCGCCTGGTGGCCCGGCGATGAGTGGATGAAAGGGCGAAGATGACAACATCTCAACAATTCTCAACATATCGAAGGTGAATTATTGTTATTATGATTATGATTATGTTTTTTCTTTTTTTTTTTGCCTTTTCTTAAAGGTGGGGTAGGCCGTAGAGGGAGGTAGTAGATAGAGGTAGCTAGTAGAAGCTACAGGTAGCTAGTAGCTACTAGTTTGCACCTAGGACGCAGGATAGCTCATGCTTCTTCAAGGAAGCTCCCCGCGCCCTAGATTTGGTTCCTAGATTTTTAGGGAAACTCAACTATATTAGACCTATTCTCAAAAATTCTCAACATATCTCAGGTCAAGAGGGTGAAGATGATGGATGTGAGGGTGACATCATTGAGCATGTCTGGTCAGGAAGATGAACTATTTGGTGTTGCAAATCCTAGACACCTAGACAGCCTAGACATTGGCAATGCCTTTCGACTTATTGCCGAGTATCTCCAGGATAAAACATTTGCATCACTGCACTGTAGATAGTACAGACTTGGCCGCAGGACCTGAAGGAACTTACTTTCGTCACATGTTGAGTAAAGACCAATCCTTGTATAGTCAGACACTAGCTTGACTGTTTAGTTGAGATTTCATTGAATCATGTTTTCCGGCTGCCCGGTGCCTGAAGCCAAACCTCAAGTCACAAGTCCGATGTTGTACCTTAGAGTGGGTTTAGATTGCAGTTTCTGGCCACTATCCTAGATTTGATAGAAGCTCCAAGGTTTAGATCCCATCCACGTCTCGCCTGATGGTGTTGGTGTCTGCGCCTTGGTGCAAAACGCACAGGTGGACTTTGGCCCAGGGGTAGGGCAGCAGCCAGTGCATCTGTTGGATGAACCTGAGGCGGGCAGTGACAGGATGACTGGATGACAGACAGATTACGAACGGATACCCGAGGAACAAATTTGAGTGTCCATAGATCGAGGAATCATGCCGAATGGTTTGAAGGAGCAGACCAGCAGACTCGTGTTTTGTGACAACCTGGAAAAGATGATGGTACAGCCTGTGTCTTCATGAATCATGTATCTGAAAATTTGTAGAGCTTCACACACCGGTGATGCCATAAGGGTTGTGGTTGTTGCTCTATACCTTCCCCTTTGGCTAATGTACAGAGAGGGGGGGCTAAGCAAATGTACGGCCACTTTTCGTGCATTTGTGGAAGCCCTGACAGCTGACTTCGTACATTTTTTTTTGTGTGGTTGCTTGAGTATATTCTTACATTTGGTTTTCACATGGATCAAAGTGGATTGAACATTTGCTGACCATAAGTTGAATGGCCGATTCATACACTACTGGGCTACTGGGTTCCAGTGCTTCTTTACAGGTGTACACGTAGTTTGGATAAAATGTTGATACTTTCACACTTTGTAGGCAACAGTGACCAAGGCCAAGGCATGCTCGGTCGTTCAAATCGGAGTGTGAAAACCGAATGGGATGAGAGATGATGAGAGAGCCCCTCGAGATCGCAAAGACCGGTGTTTTTGAACCTTGGCAAGACAACAACCTCGGCTACGAGTGGTTACCAGGCAAAAGCTACAGTGTTTTGCGCAGTTATTGAACCATGGACACAAACAGGAAACAACACAAAAAAACACAATGTGTTTGAGCCAGGGTGAGCCAAACGCCACGGCATTTACTGTATTTTATATACTGTACATTTTTTACGGTGCAGCTTGGACTAGATTTCTAGGCCATTCACTCTCTCCACCTGCCCCAGATCCAAGAAGGGGCCCAGATGTGACTAGGCTGTTACCAAGGGCTTGAGTTCTACATCCAAGTTCTCATAATTTCTCATATGTTTTACTCAAGCCTTTCCAGAGGTAGCAGATAAGGACCCGAATCCCACCAAGACCACGAGGTCCCACTCTCTCAACCTCGTCCTCGTCTGCAGTGCACCCAGACTCAGCAGCAGCACTCTCATCGGATCTCAACGACTCGGCAAGATATCTGATCTCTTCGCAGTTCTCTTCGCAAACGCACTCACTCGTAAGACGCAATATGTTGTTGGGAAAACGGTGGCCAACAACGGCCTGAACAAATGCAAGATGGTACTCAAGGAAACTTAACACAGCACTCTTCCAGTGCCACCTCGAATTTCTTCCAGCTCACTTGTCGCGGGGCTACTTGATCCACCTGTGCTCGAGAAGCACCTCCTCGAGAGCTTGAACGTTCCCGAGTTCCCTTTACATCAACGCATGGTTACGCTTTTGGACTTGTCGTGATGCAAGGAATGAGACGTGTTCAATCTTTGTGGATATCCTCCAATAAATGCCCTTCATACAGCGAACTTTCAGAAACTTTGAAAGTTAGTTTTGGGCCTCCTCTCTTCCCAAGTTCTCCGCCCCAGTCTCAACACTCTCTATAGCCCAACTTGTACTTACAACCTGTCAATCTTCAGACATTCCTGGCCTCTCTTGTCCTTCACGTTTCCCGCTCAAGATGATTTCCAACTTCCAAATTTTGAGACCGCATGGTCTCTCTCTCCCTCTCTCTCTCTCCTTCTCTCTCTCTCTCTCTCTGTCTCTGTCTCTCTCTCTCTCTCTGTCTCTCTCTCTGTTCCTTCATGTTCCCGCTCAAGTTTCCTGACTCGGCACTCTGGCTCATCAATTTTTTCCGACTCGTTTCCCGTCCAGGTTTCCCAACTGACTAACCTTCTCCTGCAACTGATAGTTGCGACTCGCTTTCCTGATTCGAGGGTGGTGTTCTGATCCTATCCAGGTGGTTTCCTGCTCGGTTTTCTGACCCTGTCGCTTTCCCTGCTTGGGGGCCTTGAAAGCAACCCCTACGTAGGTGCGCAATTAGCATCGTCCACAGAGGGGTCAGGGAAGCCGAACGCAGACAACGCTTTCCACGAACAATCTTGACAGTGACACGAAACGTGGCTGTGAGGGGGAGTGAGTGGACAGGTTTGATTGCAGCAGGCTGCCGCAAGAGCGTGCGACTCAGTTTCTCTTAGCTGCCTGGTTACTTATATATATATATTTACTGTATAATGTTTTGCGCGTTTCACTGGTACGTTTAAAAAACTCACGTTTCGCCCTGCGAGTTGAGTCTCAGAGGTAAGAACACAACAAACCAAAAGGCCCAACGCATGTAGGGAACAAACCAACATGCGTCAACACAACAAGCGCCGTCAATCATCCAAATGCACCGCTTTTGGCATAGCTCCCAAGTGCTTGTTTTTCGTTTGGGATCCTGGCAGTGCAGGTGTACACCTGCCATGAGTACTTGGGTATCCCCAACATCTCTTCGAGCTTCTCGCCCGCATTCTTGGGGGCCCGGAGCGAGGACAGGTGTTCTGAAGGAGTGCTGCCAGGTGTTCTACAGAAACTGCACGACCATGTGTTTACAACATGTGTTTTCCCGAGAGCTTCTGCGAAGAGTTGTTCGTAAAAACACATCTGCAGAACTACGTCTCATCTACATCTTCACATCTTCACCTCTGCACATCTACATTTTCACCTATATCTCTGCTCATCTTCACATGCTCACATCTGCACATCTACATGTTCGCATCTTCACATCTGCACGTCTACATCAT